TTCAATCCTCTTATTTATTTATTTCTCACGTGTGATTACATCACTGATCTAAGACAATAGACTTTGATATTACATTGCAGTCTGTAATATTTAGCTTCAAAATTACACTACGTTATCTCACATCTTTTCTAATATGTCTTACTCTTGCTATATCCTACCCTGGTACTAACGTACTATATGCAACCAATTAATTCCCGTAAAAAAGCTAACCTACACTTTTTTTTTTATTAGGTGTGGCATGGTATAGTTGAAAAAAAAAAAAGGTTTGCATTAAGACTACTTTTCACAAAGCTTACAAAGCTTTTATAGAATTCTTTTATATACCCGTTTTAAAGAAAAAAAACTTTTTCTTTTATACTAGATTTTTTTTGTTACATGATATTAAACTATAGGTTCAGATATTTCAGGTATTACGGTTTGGGTATGAATCAAAACCCGGAACTGAATTATTCTAAAAATGATGTACTCGGAACTGAACCGGTGGTCGGTTCTGGTTCGTTTCTGGTTTTTCAGTTCGGTTCTGCGGAACACTAGCTTGGGGGTGTGACAACTTCACTACTTTATTAAGTCGCCACACCCTACATGTCAAATTATTGAAAAAACAAAAAACAAAAACTTTATTATTTACGTCTGAAGTAATATCAGTTGTTACAGTGGCACAGTAATTTATTTTTAATCAAATAATGCTTTTAAAACCTTTTTTATTACATAATCAATATCTTTTAAACTTGGATTTGAAATATTTGATGCAAAAAAAGATTTAATACAATCTATTATTTTTTTACCGCCAATACTATTGAAAAGTTTGAAAACTTTTTTAGCTCTTTCTTTTCTTTTTCAAAGGTTAGTCTTAGTAATTTTATTTTGATCAAGAATACGCTCTCTGATTTTATCATTAACTAAAACATTAGATGCGTCCTTATTATTAGATTGCCTGTAAAAATCATACTATAAATTATATTCTTTTTTGAAATAATAATATGAACATATTATGTCTTGATTGGTTTTTGATTATTATCTTCAGCTTTGATAATCTTTTCATTTAATTCATAAAAATTAACTAAATCTATATTCATTTCAGAAATATTTGACTGCAAAGTAATAATATTTTCTGATGAAATTTGTCTAAAAATTGGAGTAAATTCTTTAATTAACTTTTTTAAAGTTGATGAACTATCTCTATTAACTGGCTTAATTTTTTACTAGAGAATTTTTCTGTAGAATCACTACACCACTTTTTACTACTAAGATTGGGAGAATTAATTGATGTTTCTAACAATATTTTAGACTCAATGATCTTATCACAACTAGGATATTTATTTTCTTTCATAAGTAAAAATTTTTCAACACAATATCTGTAGTATATATAACTATATAAGAGAATTGTCAATAGTTTGTAATTGTGTATAAGAATTTTTTATCCTATTCTGAGTATGTATCAAGCTCTGTAAATTCTTTATCTTGGATGATTTTATTATCAAGATTTTTTTTAGTAGTTGGTTAGAGTTTGGGTTGAGTAGTTTGTTTGGGTTTAGGGTTAGGGTTAGGATTGGGTAGTTTAGTGATGTTAGCACTATAATTTAGTTGTTTTAGTATTATATAGTGATGTATAATGTTTCTTATTTTTTTATATATAAATAAATTACAATTATGCAATATGTATTACATACGACATTATTACGTACTATATATATGATATTTAATTGTCTAAAGGACATTACAGGTAGAGCAATAGTACATCCAATGTCTGTGTGTTAGCAAATTCTGAATTGTGATTGGCTAGATCAGGTGTAATGTATCAAAACAATAGATAGTCAATGTTATTGGCTAGATTTGGTGTAATATAAAAAATCGGTCTAGTTTCTTCGGACTTTAAATGGTTTCCATTTTCCTAATTTTCCTAGTATATTAATTGAAAATCCATATGTATCATATAAATAGATCATGTGCTAGGTGCACCAAAAAAAAAATCTATAAAAAAATAAAATTTAAACGATATAAAAAAAAAAAGTTTTTATTCTTTGGATATTAAACGTCTTTTATTTGTTATAAGAATAAAATGTCTTGTTGAGATCCATGTTACGGAAAAAAAAAAATAAAATGATAATGTATTTGAGCTTGAGCAATCTCTTTGATTACTCCGTCAATGATAAATTTTAACCATTCAGCGCAGCTCTATAAAAAAAATTGGTGGTCACAGCTACCACAATCAATCTTTTTGCCCAATCAAATCATTCGGTTAACTCATTGAGGTAGAACGGCCTTAATTTTGCGGTGAAAAAATTGATTTACACTGGTTAACCAATCAGAATGCATCAAAAATATCAGTTTACACTAAGCAACCAATGATAACACAATACGAATAACGTGATCAATAACAAAAAGATCAAAAGATTTCATGCCCCTGGCCAAGACTTTCTGATAGGGTTCAGGGTACAGGGGCATGGGTATGCCTCTAAGGGCATGCCCCTAGGGCATGCCCATGGGCATGCCTCAAGTCCAAAGGGCATGCCCTTGTCATGTGATGTTCGAAGTTATTTTAATTGGCTAATAAGTTCAGGTAAACAAGAACCGTAGATACTAAATCAACATGCGAGATTTTCAAAAAGATTGTGAACTATATGTTAATCACATAATTTAAAAAGGGCATGCCCATAGGTATGAGAGGCATGCCTTAGCTTAGGGGCATGCCCATATAGGCATGCCCAATTTTTTTCCCGTGCCCTGAACCCTACTTTCTGATGCAAATTTATATTTCACAGCCTTAGTGATGCGATCCGAATATCCGAATCCTATCTGATCCGGATTTGACCCCTGAAAAGATATCTGTTATCCGGGATCAGATAGGATATTAAATCCATTATCCGGATGACAGATATCCGTTTTATCTGAATACCGATACATATTGTTGTTATATATTACAAAGCAAATTTGAATATCAATACGTATAC